GAAACGGGATGCAGACGGGATTTAAATTTTCCCCTTGGCATTTGCATGAACATGGCTGCCGCTTTTTTCCTGCTCGGGGCTTTGCCGGAAAAAAGCGGCAGCCATGTTTATACAAATGAAGTGGGGGATATTTAAATCCCCACTTCATTTGCAATAACGATGTGTCTAATCTGCATCCCTTTTCCGGAAAAGGGGTGCAGTGTAGACACAGCCCAGGAGTCTTTATCTTTCCCTCCTTTGTCTGAAAAGCAGAGCAGTTTCTTCCAGGTATTAAGAGAGATGGAAGACACTTCTCTCCCCAAGAACGGACTTCTTATAATGTGTAAGTAGGGAAAAATTTAGCTAGTCCGTCAGGTTTTGTTGTTTTCCAGGTTTGGGAATTTGGAACTAATGTCTGAGCTCATTAAGTGTCTGGTCTTTTTTTGTAACTAAGTTTTAACCCAGAGGGTTCCCTGAGAATCTTTATCAATTGGTGTCTCTTCCCATCTAGCCACTTTACTATGCTTGCAACTGTAGTTTTGTTGTGATAATAAAAGTTTCTTTTCTTTTTTTAAATTAACCAGTACTGGCTGATTTTTGTGTCCTGGAAGGTCTGATTGTGGGTCCCCTCTGTTATTCCCAACTCCAAGCAAAACGGAGGTTGGGGCAGGGGAGAGTTTTACCTTAGAGAGGAGGTTTCCTGTGTGTTTTCTTCCCTGGTTTTCTTAGAATTACTTGGGTGGTGGCAGCAGATTCCCCACAGTCTGGGTATTAGGAATTCGGGGGGAAATTTTTGTACCAAAGCCTGTAGAGAAAAGGTTTTGGGGTGCTCTTCTGGGCCCCTACTTCTGCATTTGTCATGCCAGAGTGGGGAACAGCCTTGACACCCTCCCATCCCAGGAGACAGTCTTGTGTCTCTCCCCCTGCAGCAGCAACTGCAGCCCAGATTTTGCCAACAAAAAGAGTTGCAAAGTAAAGATTGACTTGTATGTTATACCTGCATATTGTTTGTTGACTAAAGATAGCAAACTATTAAGTGTGAGTTAGAGGTTTTCTTATTTTTGAGTCAATTATGATTTTTTTAGGCCCTAAACTTTTTATAGGTCCCCAATTTCTTTTGTGGGTCCTACGCACTGTGCCTATTGTGCACAATGGAATAAGCTAACCCTGGTGCAAGTGAGTTCAATGGGAACAGGCATTGACATTTGGAGAGGAAAGAATAAAATCACTCCAGAAAGGGCTATGTTGCTGATAGCACAGGTCTCAAAGCTGCTGATGTAACCCGCATACCTGCTCAATGTGGGGCACTGTCCCATCTGGTGGACTGACTGCTTACAGAGAGAAGAATGAATTGGCTTTCCAGCCTCAGCTACCAGCCAGCTGGCTTGTAGCTCATGCAGTAGAGGCTCCCAGAAGTCCCAAGTTTGCTTCTGCTCACTGGGATCTGCTGGCCTTTTGCTGACTCGTGAGAAAGTCCACAGGCATCTGATCTTCGTCCATTGCAAGGAGGAGATCAGCGATTGATGAGGCTAGAAGAGTCTCTGTGCTATATCAAATTCACTACCCACCTCATCCTGCCCCCACTGCTCTTTGGAGATCCTTTCCCCGGGACATAGCCCTCCCTTCTGCCCCTCCCCTCTGCGGGCTCACTGGGAAGCCTGTCTCACCCTGACCGAGAGCTGTGGGGTAGTGACGCTTGAAGGTGAGTCCCCAGGTACTCCTGTGCCTTGGTACAGCAGGAGTAACATTTCTACCCTTGAGGTGCCAGCAGCGAGTGGAGGGTGAGAGGGGTTCCCGGGGACAGGCTCTTTGCCCCTGCCCAGGGGGAATCGGGACTACAGCACAATTTGTTTTATGGTAAACCGGCACCACGGATGGGACAAGGGGGCAAGACTGGGGCAGACCCATAGCTGGTCTGGGAGCCAGGGGCTGAGGCCTGGTCCACAGCAGGGGGGTAGGGCGGGAGGGGAGCCGCGGTTGGGTTCGGGGACTGAGCAGAGCTGGGTGGCTCTCCCTCCATGCCCCCAACCCCGTTGTGCCCTTCCAGTGTTCCTCTGTGCCTCCCTGTGGGCACAGGTCCCAATGTTTGGGGACCGTGGGGGGGAGGGATAGCTCAGTGGTTTGAGCATTTGCCTGTTAAACCTAGGGTTGTGAGCTCAATCCTTGTGGAGGGGTTTTGGGGCAAAAATGTGTTGGGGATGGTACTTGGTCCTGCTGTGAAGGCAGGGGACTGGACTCGATGACCTTTCAAGGTCCCTTCCAGCTCTAGGCCATTCTTAGGCACAAGCAGTGTGCACAGCTGGGTAGGGCACCAGTGTTGCTCCGGAGTTAGGTGGCATGTGCCTAGGGCCAGCACTGGCTCTGGCAGCCCCAATCCTCTTGCCTTATGCCCTGCCTCCTGGCCCCATCAGCCCCAGTCCCCCTGCCCATCCTCCCCCAATCTGCTGGCCCTCCTCTCAGCCCCTTCGGCCCCAGTCTGCTGGCCCCCTGCCCTGCCTCCTGACCCTGTTGGCCCCAATCTATCAGCCCTCTGCCCCACCTCCTGGCTCTGTCAGCCTCAATCCCTTGGCCCCATGCCTTGCCTCCTGGCCCTGGCAGACCCAATTCCTGTACCCTGGTCTCCTGCCCCAATCCTCCCTCCCCACTCCACCTCCTGGCCCTGATGCTCCCAGTCTCTCAGCCCCTTGCTCCACCTCCCAGCTTGGTCAGACCCAATCCCCCAGCCCCCGGCCTCCCTGCCCCAATCCTCCCCCCCACTTGCCAGCCCACAGCTCCTGCAGGCTGCGCCACTCCCCCTTCCACCTGCTCCGCCTTCCAGCCTGCAGTGCCACTCACTCTGCCTGTTCCCCTCCCCAACCTCCCTACCCCCCACAGCACCTCCCCCACAGCCCTGAGCACAGCCCTGCCCCATGGAGAAGCTGTCCCCTGCAGCAGGGGATGGAGGGTGCAGGTGGTTGGGCTACGTAGGGCACTGAAAATCATGACGGCCCTGCCTGGGGATCCAAGCCATCGAGAGACCTAGTTCCCAAAGCCGGCAGCCTCCGTGGCTATGTCCCCTTCCACTGCGCTGCGTGAGTGCCACGGGGGCTGGATGGGAGCCAAGACGCAGGGGTCAGGTGACGTTTCCTGCGGTGGAGAAGCCAGTTCTTCGATTCCTACACTCCGAGGCCAGATGGGGCCATGGTGGTCACCTCGTCTGACCTTCTGCATCCCGCAGAGCAGGGACCGGCCCCAGACTGGCTGTGCTTGAACTTCCGGAGTCTGTTGCTACTCTCATTTGACCGTGCCTCAAGGAATGACTCCCTCTGCTCACCACGAGGGTTGGGCCCTCGGTCAGCGCCTGGCCTGAAGGTGGGAGGTGGGGAAGAAAGGACAGGCCTCAGGACTCCTGGCGGGAGCGGGGCAAGGGATGTGAAAGCTGCTGCCAGTGAGGGTAGGACTGCCAGCTTTCTAGTCATGCAAAACTGGGCATCCCTGCCCTGTGCTTTCTTTGAGGTCCTGCCCCACCTTTGGCTCTGGCCACTGTCAGAAGTCAGGACACTGGGCTTGATGGACCTTTGGTCTGACCCAGTCTGTCTGTTCTTGTGTTCTTTAGTTCATCCCCCAAGGCCCCACCCCCTGTTTGCTTCATCCCCTCTCTCTCTTGCCATTGACCCCCCCCCTTCACTGGCCTGTAGCAGAGGGTTAGTGTGTGTGTGGGTGGGGGGGTGAGGGCTCTGGCTGGGAGTGTGGGCACTGGGTGGAGCCATAAATAAGGGGTTCAGGGTGCAGGAGAGGGCTTCGGGCTGTGACAGGTGGTTGGGATGTGGGAGGCTGTGTGGGAGGTCCTCGTGGCATGTAATGAGGCTTCCAGGAAGCAGCAGATGCATGGATGGCTAGGGAGGCGCCTCACATTTCACTCACACCCACAGGTGCCACCCCTCACAACGTCTATTGGTCTTGGTTCCCGGCCAGTGAGTGCTGTGGAGCCGGCACATGGGGCAGGGGCAGTGTGTGGAGACTCCCTGGCCACCCATACACCTAGGCGGCTGGGACTCGGTGGCCACTTCCAGGAGCCCTGGGCCCCCACCGTGCCGCTGGCAAGAATTTGAATGGCCTGGTTGGTGGTGTTGACCGGAGCCACCAGGGTCCATTTTGTTTCGGTCGAAACCGGATGCCTGGCAACTTAAGTGAAGTGATTTGAGGATCCCAAGCCTCAGGCCAGAAGGGTGCGCATCATGTCTCTGTGCCCAGCAGGCTTAGCGGGCTGGGGCTGGTGTCCCCCAGCCTCCCATGGCAGCTTGGGACTGCGGTAGCCGTGGGTGAGCAGGTGACTCTGTCCCTTCTCTTCCCTTCTCTTCCATCCCACGTGGCTCCCATACTCCCCTGTGGGGAGCCAGTCAGCAGCCTCAGCCCCCCACTTCTATGCACACAGCAGCCCTTTGCACTGTCCCTCACCAGCCTCACATGACTGACTCGGACCACGCCGTCCCTCCCCATCATTCACCTACCCCTTGCGTTTGGGGTCACTGAGTCCATCAAAGGAGCCCAGAGCAAGTCAGGCCTTCCTGAGATAAGGAGGTTTCATTCAGCTGCGCTTGATCACAATCACATGAGTAGGGTAAAGGGAGCATCCCAAGTCCGTCTGGCTCCCCACCTGAGTCCACCTCTCCACAGGATTTCCAGTTCCAGGCATGGAATAATTGGCACAAATGCTCCTTCATCTCTGGTGCTTGCAGCAGCTTTACACAATGTATGCACAAGGTTTCTAAATTTTGTCCATCTATGTGCAGAATACATTTTGTTCTGTGCACTGAGGCATGTGTGGATGCGCACCACCAGTAGAAACACATGCTGCCGGCTGTGGGTGCTCAACTCACCAGCTGGGCGGCACCTGACTCTCTCCTGGGTGGCTGCCCAAGCGCTCAGCTTTCAGGGATCACTGCTGATGGGTCTGGGTGGAATCCTCAGAGGAGACTTTAGCCACGACACCACCATTCCTGCCGCTTGCTAGTCACTGCTCTTATGCTCAGGATTAGGGGTCAGTGGCCAGGCTTACTCAATAAGAACATCTTAAGCACTCTGTACCGTATCCTTTTGGTCCTCACCCCGTACACAATGGGGTTCAGCATGGGTGGGACCAGGAGGTAGAAGTTGGCCATTAGGATGTGGATGTAAGGAGATACATTGTGGCCAAACCGGTGCGTCAGCGATGAGGCAGCAATGGGGACATAGAAGGCCAGGATGGCACAGACATGGGAGACGCAGGTGCTGAAGGTCTTGAGACGGGCATCAGCTGAAGCCAGCTTGAGCACAGCCCGCAGGATCATGATGTAGGACAAGACAATGAACAGCGAATCCACGAGCAGCACAAGGAAGCCGACGGTCAGGCCATAGAGGCTGCTGACGGTGAGATCCCCACACACCAGCAACACAACCGCCATGTGCTCACAGTAGGAGTGTGGGATGACGTGGGTCCTGTAGTACCCATACTGTCGGACAAGGAGGATCAGCGGGGAGATGTACAACACGCCCCGGACCGTGGCTGCCAGCCCGATCTTGGCTACGATCGCATTGGTCAAGATGGTCTTGTGTCTCAGTGGGTGGCAGATGGCGATGTAACGGTCGAGAGCCATAGCCAGGAAGATCCCAGACTCTATGGTTGAGAAGAAATGTACGACAAACATCTGGAGGAGGCAGGCGTGGAAGCCGATCTCTCTGTACCTGAACCAGAAGATGCTCAGAAGTTTGGGCATGGTAGAAGTGGAGAGGACCAGGTCGATGGTGGCCAGCATGGCGAGGAAGTAGAACATGGGCTCGTGCAGGCTTGGCTCTGTCTTGATGACGAAGAGGATGGAGCCGTTCCCCAGGATGGTGATGATGTACATAGAGCAGAAGGGGATGGAGATCCAGATGTGGAGGTCTTCATGCCCAGGTATCCCGGTGAGGAGGAACACTGCATGAGGTAACATGATGCATTTCCTTTGCCAGAGGAGACGTCAGTAGATGCTTTTGGCCCTGTAATAAGAGGCAGTGTGTGCTAGTTAGTGATGATAGCTTCTAACTAACCCTCGGGCATGTTGTGCTGGGAAGAAACTGATCTATCAGCCTGACCACACCTAACCAATAATGAACAGTTGACAGTTGAAGTTCTGTGGCCAATGCTATGGGAAGGAGTTGATCCAAATGGGACCTTTTGGCCTTTAAAACTATGAGACACTGATTCAATTAGGGCCTGATCCATCTCCTACTGAACGCAAAGGGAGTTTTTCCATTGATGTCAGCAGAACTGAGTCTGTACATTTTCCTCTTAGGCATCTCTAAGGCTATGTCTACACTGGGAAGCTTTGGTGACAAAAGTGTTGTCGACAGGAAAAAAATCAGCAAAAGTGAAAACTGGTCAGAGTGGTTTTTCTGCCTCCCACTGTCGACATTTCATGGCCACATGGCTAGCTCCCCTGTTGACAGATGAAGCAAAGCAATGTGGGAGAGCAGTGTAGTGTTATAGGAAGGCAGAGCTAATCCCTGCGTTTCCTGGGATTCTCTCTGAATTCTCCCCCAGCAGTCTCCGCTGCTGGGAGCAGCATCCCGAGTAGCTCTGTGAGCTCTCCGTGCTGAGGAATCTCGCCAGCCCTCCTTCTGCAGCAGCTGTGTTTCTAACAGGGCAGAATGGGAGCATTCCAATTATTTGCTCATTTTGTTTGTTCCCCAAATGGAGTAGCTCACTCAGCTGCCAGCTACTTCCCGGAGCTTTGAAAGGAGAGAGAGGAAGGGGGTGGTGGTGGTGGGGG